TCCTTCCTTCCTTCCTTCCTTCCTTCCTTCCTTCCTTCCTTCCTTCCTTCCTTCCTTCCTTCCTTCCTTTCCTTCCTTTCCTTCCTTTCCTTCCTTCCTTCCTTCTTTCCTTCTCTCTCCTTCTCTCCCTCCCTCCCTCCCTTTTAGCAAGCATCATCAAAAAAACAATCTTTAAACTAAACATTTTAGAAGTAATCTTGAGGGAAGATTTCTTAAATTTAGATTGGACAATGCATTATTAAGAAACCATGGGATAGATATAGAAATATATACAGTAAATATTCTCCTGGAAAAAAAAAAGTCAGTTAACCAAAAATTAGCCGGATCGGTACCAAATATTATGATTAAATCAACTTTTTGTCAAATGAAAATGTAAAGAGCACATTAAAAACAGATTTACTTTGCTTGCTGTGAGAACACACTTTGGGTAAGTCAGAATGAAGGGCTTGAAAAGCTATTTTTTATAAAGGTGCATCTTATAATTAATTACAGTACAATGTTGAGTGTGCTCTATTGTCATTTTGTTTGAAAGGCCTTGAAAAAAAGTGCTAACAGGAACCTAGAGGTATCCTATATGTGCATAGAAGCAAAGAATTTTTACATGGTGACTACAAATGAACTCTGGATATTCAGGCAGTTGTGAAGATTAATTAACTATACGTTCACATTTTTGAAAAATGATAATACTCATATTGGCACAATTTTCTTACTTGGTGACAAATAGGCCGGAAAAAAAATTCAGGGGAATAGCACTTATCTTTTCTGTAGAAAAAATATTCTGGAAGCTGTTCCAATGTGAAAGCCAAGATTTGTTGGAGAGCAGGTCATTAGTGTAGGATCACATTTCATGAAACCTAATCAATTCTGGAACATAAACCCACTTAATCTAATTTTCCAGATGTTAACATTGGATAGACTACTAGACGCACTTCATAGCAATCCATGATAGACCTGATCCCTTCTAGTTATCTCACAGAATTCATCTTTAAAATTCATAACGTCTCTCTTTTCCAAATATAGAAGATTAAAATATAAACAGTTTTCAAATGTAACTTTTAAATGTTTATAAATGTTCCAGGTTTGATTAATTCAGAAGGAGCTTACTGTTCTGGTAAAAGATGGAATGTTTAACACAGCGGTTAGAATTATTTCCTGACTGCCTTGTGACTCTTATCCTATTTAATGGTGTGAAAAATGCTGCTACTCTGCGGAGGAAAGCAATGGAAGGAGCTATTGATGGAGCATTAATTAATCCTTTAATGGTAAGCAACTTGTCTCCATTTTACATATTCAGTAACTTTTAGAATTCACTAGGTCGCATACTGTTGTTAAAAAAAAAAAAATCCAGTGAGTAGAAACTTCTAAGGAGATAAATAATTTTCACCTGAATTTTTAAATTGCCTCCTCAAACTTCTGGAACATGGTTTCTTTTCCTTCTTGACCCTATTTCTGTGAAAAGTGTTTTGCTGAAGTTCTTTTCAACAGAATAACATTATTTTTTTTCCTGAAAGCTAAATCATAAATATTAAGAGGACTGGTAGGTGTCTGTCTTTCCATAAGTATAAATGTAATGCATAGTTTAAATTTTAATATAAATATGGAGTTAGCCTAAATGTGCTATTCCATTCCATATCTGTAAGATAGGGAATGGTTTCCTAAAGTATCATTTAGACTAAAAAATGCAAGTTGTTGTTCTGGAACTGATACAGCAGTTGAAAACTTCATTATATTTTCTCTGGCAGGTTGTTGATCCTTTTCAGATACTAGTAGCCGCAAATAAAGCTGTTCATCTCTACAAAATTGGCAAAATGAAGACAAGAACACTGAATGCTGAAATCATATTCAACCTTTCACCAAACAATAATGTGAGATAGTTATAACTGGGGCTGAGATGTTGCAGGCCCTCTGCCTTGTTTCATGCAGCTTCACACTCTCTAGACATTTTCCTTTATTCTTTGGGTATCATTTCTCTTCCACTTTTTGGGTTGGTATACTGTCAGGAGAAAAAGACAAGGAAATGTTGAATTATAGTGAGAAAG